ATTTAGTAAAAAAGATTGATAATAGAAAGATAGAATTTCAAACAGAATAATTTTTTTTAACGACATTATTTTCTGCTTATTTTTTATTTTTTTACAAAAAAAAATAATAATGTATAAAAAAATAAAATACTAATGTAGCGTACCCGAGCTGGGGTTTGAACCTGAGGCGTCCTTCAACAAAGAAGAAGCAATAATCATAAAGCCATGTTGTGGCAAGTGTAAAAGCTTTGCATATTAATAATAGTTATTCAATGTCTATTTTAATTTAATGCACCTTGTGGGAATTATCCCACATCCAATAATGAGTATAAAAGTGTGTGGTATAAATAGTTTCGTTGTGCTTTGTTACATGCACGGGTGAAAACGCGGGGCTGCGATGCTGAAGGCTTGCCACGTGTGACTAAGTTTTGAGGCTTGCCATGTGTGATTGAGAACCGAGAGAACCAGTAAAAAGTGATGTCATGTGATCAGTTCTCTCCGGTTTGTGACATTTATAGGCGGTTTATGGTTCAGAACTGATTTTGATCTAGAACTTGGCGGTTCCCGGTTTTACGATGTAATCAACTCGGGCAAGTCCGTTGCGACTTGCCGATTTTTGGACCACTGTTTCGAGGTATTTATAAAACCGAGAAAAAAATTGTCATGCATAGATTTTTAAATACCTATATGGCTTGACTCATATTTGTAGTTATTTAGAATCCTCAATTAGTTAAGACCTTGAACCATATGGAATGTTGTAGGAAAGCTATCTTACTAGGCTTCATTGACACATGTTATATTGATTAGATAACTTGGTTTGTATGGATTTACTACCAAGATGACTAGTGTGGTTAAACCTTTGTAGTTTATAAATGTTTTACATATTGTGAAACCAATGGGCATTGAATTACTTATTGCATTATAATTGCTATGCTACCTCATGATATAGACATAAGAATGTTGAGAATGTGTATATTGTATGTGCAATAATTGAGTGGGAGCTGCTACAGTCCCACGTTTTTTTTTAGTTGCTTGGATATTCAGATATACAAATGCATGATATCTCAAGGATTCAAATGATGTGAAGTCTACATCTGGATACGTATTCATGCTTGGAGGGAGAACAACTTATTGGAAATCAAATAAACAAGATGTGGTGGCATTGTCTATCCTAGAGGCAGAATACGTGGCGTACTATTTGGCGGCCAAGGAAGCCGTATGAATTAAGAAATTTCTTAATCGACTTGACTTTCAACCCGTGCGTTGTGAGGCAGTGAGGATTTTATGCGACAACACGACGACGATATGCATGTAAAAGGGAGTTATGATTCCATAATAACTCCAAGCATATAAACTCAATATTCTAGTGGGAGCACCTAGTGTTTGACAGGCTAGCTGGAACAACAGACTATGGTGTTGTTCACCCATGGAACCCAAATGTGTGGCGCTGGTTGTATGGCTAGAGAACGAAGCGGTTTGTTTGAATAACTCATTCAAGCCAATGAAGATACGATCCTATGTGATGAGGATACATGATGATTTTTTGTGACATAGGTCCATGATTCGCGATGAGATATGAAATATGGACTACGACGACTTTGGGGATGAGATCCGAGCAACAAAGAGAAAGAGGCGTTGCCTCTATGTGTTATTTTGTGAAATGATTGATGAGGAAAGCCATTATTAATGTATTGAGAGAGATGTTATTAGGAAAGACAGATGGGGGTGAGAGAGAGTGAGGAAGAGTGTAAGGCATTCAAAGGGTAAGTGGGAGATGTTGGATTTATGTGGCCTTTAAAGGCATTATGAGAGCTTCTATGAGCATTTTATATAGTGGAACATAAACTCAGTGGGAGTGTGGTCTTTTTGTGGATCATAGTAGGAAAATGTTATTTGCTGATACTCGGACTAAGCTCGAAGAACTAGGTTAGCAGAGGTTTGAAAAAACCCAATATACCTGGGCATAGGGATCTACTAATAAGGGTTTAGTGGGTTATCCCTTGACGAGGTCGGAGTATGACCAGATGAGAGCCAAGGGACTGTGTGGCTTTTGAGTGTGATGAATAGCCTTTAGAGACAGGGTTAAAACCTCATCGTTATATTATCACACGACATGTACATAGATAGCCGTTTAGAGATTCACCATTGAGGGTGAAGCATGTACATGTACATGTACGAGAGATTACCCCTATATACCATAGAGTCATGGTTGCATCATGGTCTGAAGGAACATGATTTTTGTCTCTAGGGGAGAACCTGAAATCCATAAACTGGGATTGTGTTCCCTAGTCTATTGGCTGACTTGGTGGTCCAATCATGAGCCCCTGCAGTAGACTGTGAGTCAGTTTGAGAAAGCTAGGCGGATCGTAATTCGCAGTTGCAGATGGAGTGCTCCCATGTATTGATAATTTTTTAGATCTAATGGATCCGATTCCCATCAAAATTATAATTAATTTTATGTTATATGATTTTTAGAATGTTTATTTGATTTTTTGTGAATCTTCTGATATTTTATTTTTGTCATATGAATTTATAAACTAAGATAAATTAATTTTTCAATGTTTTAAATAAAATATAAGATTTAAAAATTCTAAAGATGAAATAAAATATTTTCAAAAATTTAAAAAGATGTGGATTAGATAGGCCCACGTGGCCACCAAAAGGGGGATACGCCCCACCCATTTACGTAATATTATTGGTTTATCCTAATGGCTTATCTTTTTAGGTATAACTAACTTATGTGATAAGGTTGAAAATTTGAGATATTTACTAAATCTTTGAATCAATATTAGTTGTTATAATAATTAAGGATGGGATATATTAAAATATAAGTTTTCCTTATTTGATGATAATAGATTTAGGAAATGGAAGATAATACTCTAGCTCATCTATTTGAATTGTGATGGTGGATCAAAGAGATTGATAACTCAAATCTCTCACCTCAAGTCTCCTTAGATCGATGGTTGAGAATTGACCCTACGAATTGAGGCAAAATTTAGCTCTCTCTGAAAAGGGCTTTGGATTACCAAAGGGAGGCATGCCCAATTTTTATCTTTCTCTCCCTCTTTCTTCATATTCATCTCTCATATCTCTAAAATAAAGCTAAGAGGCTTCATTAAAATCAAGCCATCGAGTGGATTTTTATCATGGTAGGAAAATCAATATACCGATCATAGATCCTGAGCACCATCGGAAGGAGGAGACTCGGCGTGGGGTATATTAAGCCCGGTTGAGATAATCTCCGACAATTTTACTTTTTTAAAAATTATTTACTTCTCTTCCCATAAAGCAATAAATTATAGTTTTTTTTCTTGAATTGTATTTGAAGATGTAGTAATTGAGAATCAATTTTATTTTTATTTTATTTATTTTAAGAGTTGTTTGATTATAATTGGACATTGTAAGTGATGTTGCCCGTGTAGAGGTAAATAATTTTCTAAATACATATACACCGTGCTTTATCATAAAGTCATTTCAATATATAGAAAAAGTTTATATAAGTATGAGGCTCTAAACAATCAAATTAGGGCTCACCTAAAAATTTTACTCGAAGATGTTGTTTTGTTGCCCAAATATCCTCAAATTGATCATCTCGACCTATATGGACATGAGGAAAAAATGGATTTCAAGTTTTGAAAATAGTGCATCTTGTAATGCATTTTTTGACTGTCAATTATTAATATTTTCAAGTTTTCACAGATGTGCTCGATCTACACTATTTTTTAAGCTTTAAATTGTATAATTATAGTTGAAATAGATTTTAAAGTCATCATAAAAGTTTCTACTATTAAAACCGCATTTTTCGATACTATTTGAAGGTGCACTTTAATTTGATTGTTTCGAGCCTCGGCTCTATACAAACCGCATCCATTATATATTAGATACGAAGCACAAAAAAAAAACAAAAAAAAACAAAATTTGATGAAGGATTCCGCCGTTACAGCAAATTGAATGGGTTCGAATCTCCAACAAAGTGGTGGCAAATAGCCGCACACTTGCTAAACGATCAATTTCAATTACTTGTTGTACTTTTATGCTAACCATGAATTCTTACAGTGAACAATTTTCCGCGCCTAGTGATCCTTCACAACAAAAGAGATAGAGAGCACGATAGACATTAGGTGGGTGGCTCTTGATGAATGCCAAAAGTCGCTGAAGCTCCACTTTTCGACGCTTAACGCAATCATGCCTCTCCCTCTCCCATCCAAAAGAAAGTCAGGGAGCTGGGATAGATGAACTAGAATAAATCAATGAACACATCATATGAAAGATTCTTATTCTATGGAGGCGAGCCAATAGATTAGGAAAAATGACAATTTAGAACCAAATTGATCCACTTTTAAAAGAATATAACCGAATTTATCATTACTAATTGGAAAATTTATCAAAATACTTATGAGAAGTACAATTTAGCATTTTACATTTTTTATAATATTCCAACTCATGATTATGATCTTTTTATAATGTTGAATAGTTAATCTCATATAGATATTTTGATAAGGGAAAGTATATAACGAGACCATTTATTTTTGGCATAAAGTGGTCACAAATAGTATTGACTATTGGATGTGAAATTGATTGGTTGCATTTATTTCATTGACTAAGTTCAAAGTTTAAAATTTTTTTTTTCAAATATTGTGACACATCCAAACCATCAAATTTCACATCGAATGGTTATAAGTAATTGTGACCACCATATAACAAAAATAAATAGTTATATAATCCTAATAATTTCCCTCGTTATGTTTAAAGTGAAATGATTTGCCAGCATATGATGGGGATGGTGATAGCGCAAAAAAGCACTCAAATGACTATAGGTATTGTATTCGTTCTCCACTTTACCCTGCATTTCAATTGGGCAATGAACGGCCCCAATATGGTACCGAGTCTAATGACGGAGGAGAGGGGAAAGGAAATGGAGAAATACGGATTTGACTCGGGCATGCTTTATAATTGCCTGCAGTGTTGTGACGTCGACTCGTCGCGGCGTCGTCGACACAATACAATGTATGTCGTGATTACAGTCCGTAGAGAGGTTCACGTTCTAATAAGGAAATTTGTTTCTCCCCATTTTTCCCCGCCGAAATAAGGAAAATGTTCGTGTAAGGTTGCAACCTTCTACTGTTGAGCAAAGGTGCACGTGACTTCTGCAGAATAAGGAGGCAACCTTGCACAAACCTCACCCCTGAAATGATCTATTTCCGACCCATTTCTGGCTCTTGCGGCGACAATCTCTGAAAAAAACCCCGAGCCAACTGCGTGGCCCTTCTCTTATGAGCCTGCTACTGTTCCCTGGTCGCGCCTAGTTGGTGGGTGGGTGGGTCGCGAGGCGTTCAAGTCAAGCATTTGATCCTATCACTTGTTTTCTCTCTCCTCAGTGGCTTTACAATTTTTGTTGCTCTGAATCATCCTCTTCCCCCTTCTCTCTCTCTTCGCAGTTCCATGATTCGTGGATGATTCCCCCACTTTCCCCATCAAATACGCCTTCTAGCGATCCCATGTTCTTTTCTCTCTCTCTCTGTGTCTTAGACAGAGCGGTCAACCCTGTGTCTTAGACAGCGGTCAACCCAGCGCAGGCGGATCAACTCTCGCCTCTCTCTCTTCACCTTCAATTCAATTCAATATTGTAGAGTAATAATAAATTGTAGTAGGATTGGAGGAGGAGGAGGGGAAGGGCAAAGGAAAGTGATTAACAATGGAGGTGGGATGGGAGTGGAGCAATCTGCTTCTTGATGACTTCTCTTCCATTGATGGTGATGCCCCGTCCCTACCTTCTGAAGCTGCGCCTTACTGTTCCGACTGGGACGCCCTTCCCCTTCCCTCGGAGGACCCTCAGCCCCAGTCTATGCCTCAACCCGAGCCATCATCCGCCACATCATCAGTATTGCTGCCTCATTCCTCTCCCCTGAATCCCCAGACCTCCTCTCCGGCCAAAGTTAGGAAGCGAGATCCCCGCCTCACCTGCTCTAACTTCCTCACTGGCCACATCCCGTGCGCTTGCCCGGAGCTCGATGAGCAGGAAAGAGACGAGGATGAAGCGAGCAGGAAGCGCACCAAGATGACAGCTGCAGCAGTGGTGCGGTGCCAGGTCACTGATTGCGAGGCGGACATCAGTGAACTCAAGGGTTATCACAGGCGCCACCGCGTCTGCCTGCGCTGTGCCAATGCCACCACCGTGATCCTTGATGGTCAGCCCAAGCGCTACTGCCAGCAGTGCGGCAAGTAAGTGCCCTCTCATCCGCTATGTCTCCATTTTCCGTGAAAATCTTTTGATCCTTTGATTCAATACTCAAAGCACGAGCTCCACGTTACTGCTCCTAGTTCCTCTAACTGATATGTCAATTTCTTATTCATTCATTTTTTTGGTTCCCCCTCCCTTGATGACTACGAAAACTGAGTGTTTTAAAGTATGTTATAGCTTTCACTAAATCTATGCAATTTGATGCAACACGATGAGGGCATGATGTGTCATTCCCTTATCCGGGGTTGCTTCTCCATTCTCTAATGAGAAGGAAACTAGTAACTTCCAAAGAGAAATTATGCTAGAATTATAACTAATTCAATCACAATGTGATTACCTGCCCCCAAAAGAAAACAAAGCCGCACATGACAATTTCACATCAATTGCACTGTTAGTAAAACTCATGCATTTATTCAGCATTCCGTTCAGGGTATAGAACCTAACTTTATCTTTCGGTAGTTGAAATAATGTGACACACAGATTTAAGGGCCCATCATTGTTAATTTGATGCTCATCAAACGAGATCTGAGTACTAAATGCTGGGAATCAGATTCTTTGGAAGGATATCGTTCACCTTCCACGTATGATACACGCTGCCAGGCGGCTTTCTTAAGAGATTTTTGAATATTTTCTCTAGATGCTGGGTTCTAGCCAATCAAGTTAGGGTCGCATGACACTTCAGGTTATTAAATTGGTTGCACTTCAAAAGAATGAGCTTACAGTGATGCATAATCAGCTATGATCAATCATTGAGTCATGGGTTGTCAGTGGCAATCTAAATTTTCATTTGCCTCAGCATGGTGATAACCCAAGGACATCAAACTCATATGTAGAAATGTTCAATCGGATTACGCTTTAGGCTGGTTATTATCTTTTTATAGGCTACTTACTTAGGGCCTTCATTCACATGGTGGGGGGACTGGGCTTTCACATTTAATGGGTCCCTTTGCCACATGAAAGGCTAATGGAGTTACATTGGCATCATACCACCAAAACAACGAACTAGGAATGGCCTGCTTGGATAATGTTGGTTCTAACTTCTGACATGGGTTTGGCATGGAAGGTGTACTTGTTAGATGTTACTAATTTAGTTTCACTCCTTTGTGAGTTTAAATTGATGATATGATATGCATTGAGTGTTATCTTTGTAGTTGTTTTATGTTGATTCTTACAATTTATACATCTTCCTCGGAATTTTCTACACTATCTGCTGAAGTTTACCTAATTCTGGCATGTATTTTGTCCTTAAGTGTGCCTTTGCCTTTTTGCTGCCTCCTCTAGAAACGTAGGATTTCATGTGATTATCTTTTCATATTGTTAAATCTACTGTTTGTTTTGTTTTTCTGAACTTTTTCACTTTGGTCTTTACTGTCAGGTTTCATGTATTGCAAGATTTTGATGAAGGAAAAAGGAGTTGTAGGAGAAAATTAGAGCGACACAACAATAGGAGGCGCAGAAAAAATCTTGACTTCAGACACGGTGTTGAAGGATCTCACTTAACTGAGAAGGAACCACTAAGTATCATGACAATTGAAGATGTCTTTTGCAATGGTGAAGCAGGTAAAAGTATAACTTCATATTACTGGATGCTGAGCCTTCCCTCCTGCTATTGAGCAAACGAAGGTGTCTTTCGTGAAGTTTTTTATAACACCTTTTGATAAAGAAAGTCGTCCTTTATATTTTCTTTGTTGGTTTTGGAAGTACTTGTTATGCAACTAGATTTCCATAACAACAATAAATATTAAAAAGCTAAGATTTCCATAATAATTGTCTATCTATCCTTTTAAGGGGCATGTGTGTGTGTTGGTGCATGCGTGCACACACACGTGCACACACACAAGCTAGGGTAAAGGAGGTAGGTTGTGTTAGGTAGGCATCTAACATAAAATTTTGCCAAAACTTTTCATGAATCCTGAATCTACACTATCTTGCAAATTGGCGGACCTTGATTTGTATAACCGGCCCCAAATGGTTGAAAAAAGTCTTTGATGATGATGACGATGATGATTTGATGGTTGGTGCAATGTTTTGTTCTTTTTGAGCTTTAATGAGTCTTAGCAACCATCCAAAAGGTTTTTAGGTTCCAGGAATCCTTTTGAAGAGGTCAACATGTTGCACCCAGTGTGCCAAGAATTTGGTGCATATGAGATTCTGCATGCTATATATGAGATTCTACATGCTATATATTATATGTTTTAATCACTTATTCTTGAAGGAAGAACAACAAATAAACAAACAGGTGCACCTAAATGCATGAAAGAAATGTCTCTACGGACTCTTGCCTTAATGCTAATGAATAATAGGCTTATATGTTATTTAGTTTGTGGAGTCATATTGTGTTTACAAAAGAATAAATAGTATATGTGATGATTTTGTTTTTGATTGTAAGGAAGATAAGCTCATTCTACTGTTGCTATGGTACATCTTTTTCACCCATGTTGCCACTTACCTTTGCGATTTGTTTGGTATCTTTGCCATGACTTTGAGGGATCACTCATAGGTGAACAATACTTCATATTTCTTCTAAGCAGAGGTAGTTTGCCCGTGGGCCTACTCTTTTGTTATGAATCATATTGGGTATTTTTCTCCTTGGTGTGTAATTATTTTTGGCATTGCTTAATGGGTGTGGTTTCTATAAGGTTGCAACCTTAAACAATCCAATTAAGGCACACCTCCAAAATTTATCATAACATGTCATTTTTTTCCGATGGATTTTTGAGGTGCATCTTAATTCTACATTTTAAGGTTGCAACTTTATATAAAGTTTTCCCTTACTTAATATCATAGGTAATGTTTTTGGGGTAATTCAGCAGTAGGAATTGAACTTGGATGTAGCATTGCTAACATCAACTACTAATTACTCAAGTCCAAGCCCAATTCCTAACATCATAGGTACTGACTGTTCTTATATGTGGAATAGATATATTTCTTCGCTGAAGATGTAGTGTTAATGACCTCTCACTCTGCCTATGTTATTTGATATGGACTACCTCTGGCTATCAGTTTGTTCCTCCTGTGAGTGTATCGCAAGTATGTGCAACATGTAGGCTCTTAGCCCTGATGTTTTGCTTGATACTCCTCAGCATGATTTTAAAATGATCTCTGCTAATTTTCTCAACCTTAAATCAATGCAGGCAGTGGGCTTGGGGATGGTTGTGGAGAAGCAAGTTTACATCTTAGCGACCAGATGAAGGATACAAATACCAGATCCTTATTGGAATGTGAAGAGGGTCATGAATCCCCCTTCCATTCGGTCATGGGTAAGATGAATCCTAGTTTGCAAAATCCTCAGAGTGATGATGTCCTCTCTATTGTTACTTCTGATAAAGCCCAGAGAAAAAGTGGAAATGATCACTCTAGACCTTCTCTTTCTTCATCATTGTGTGATAATCAGGCCGGTTACTCATCGGTGGTATGTCCTATTTGAACACTTGGTCTTAGTTGCGTAGCTTACTTTTGCTTATGGATTTACTCTCTGTGAATTGATATGCCATGGTTTGTTGCCTTTTTTTTTTTGAGGAATATTCCATGGTTTGTTGTCACATGCTGTACTGAAATATGAATGTTTTTTTTTTGTTACAATTACAGTGCCCAACAGGTCGTATATCCTTCAAGCTTTATGATTGGAATCCTGCAGAATTTCCGAGACGGCTTCGGCACCAAGTAAGGAGTATCTCTTAAGTTTATTATTTGTGGGGGCTGGGCTTCACCCATATCTGATGTTGAGGAGCTTCTTTTTAATTTTCAGATATTTCAGTGGCTGGCTAGCATGCCTGTTGAGTTGGAGGCCTATATTCGTCCTGGATGTACCATACTGACTGTTTTCATTGCAATGCCTCACTTTATGTGGGAGAAGGTAGAAATTTGACTTTCATGAGTTTTTTATTCTTCAAGTCCATGCCTAGTGTGAGTTTTTATCTACAACTATTTTTATAAGCGAATATGATCGTTACTACAACTCGTGTAGCTCCGGGCCAAATATTTTTCTTTCATGACGAGGCTCATGCCGAAGAATATTGATGCTTTGAATTAGAATAGATCTAACTCCAAAAATAGACATTTATATACATCTATATGGAATGTAATGTTCTTGAATGTATCCGTTGAATTTTTTCTTCATTTTGTCAATTTTTCATTTGATATGCTACACGAATGTGCTATGTGGTGTCACTATAATTGACATGCAATATTTATTCTCGGCAGTGTCCAAATATTGCCGGTTCGACTCGGACCCTCCCAAGTCGAACTGGGACAGGTAGCCACCCAGTTCGAGTCGCTTCGTGAATCGGGATATGGACCTAGGGAAAAACAACATTAAAAACTTTTTATTATAATAAAACTACTGTTTTAGAAAATTGAAGTTCTTAAACATCGTTTAAATGTTTTTAAGTCTTTAAGATTTGTTGACCATTTTTTTTGAATGAATCTGCTGAGCCAACTTGCTGACTTGTCTGGACTCGGACTGGTGTGTGAATGGTTTGACCCACCAGTCGAAGTTTTGAAACACCTATTGCAGGATTCACCGAATTGTTAAAGTTAGTAAATTGCTTTTTAAAATCCAAAAATATCATTTTCACAACTGCTCTTCTTGTTTTATTGATTCTTATTTTTGTGGTTTCTACAAGATGCCCTGCCCCATTTATTCTTCTTTTATTGTTTGGAGCAGTTGTTCAAAGATGCTACTGTATTCTTGGATGACCTTGTTAATGCCCCTGGAAGTTTGCTGTCAGGAAGAGGCAGAATTTTCATTTACCTAAATAATTGGATTTTCCAAGTTCTAAGAGGTTAGTTGAGGATTCTGAATAAATCATTCTATATTTGTATCTTGTGTGCTGGAGCATGCTGATCCGTCTGTATGTCACGGTTGTGATTTGGGATACTTCTCATTCTGGGCATTGCAAGTGCTGTCCTTCTTTGGTATCATGCAATGTGAATGGATCAGCGTTTGAACTGATGAGGGACAGGTGTGGGTAGACTGGCCGGACCGGACTGCATCACTGACTGGACTTGTGCAATAATTTCAGCTTTTAAAATAAGGAAAAATAGAAAGGAAAAAAAGGAAAATTAAAAAAGGGAAAAATTAGGGAAAACTTCAGAAAATTGCTACAAGAAAACTCACCCATTAAGCAACAATACATTAAGAAATATTGTTTCATGCGGGCTAGACCACATTTCTACATATGCGGTCCAAAAAGTGTAAAGCATCCATCTTAAAGATGGGATACAGGTAGGTGTTCCATCTAAAAACAATGGAAACTAATGGTCCAAATGTTTTCTTACTAGAATTATTATTCTTAGTTTTTAAAATTTATTTATTTATTCATATTCATGATCTCCATGTTAGAGATTACATATCCTTAAAAATTAAGTCTTAAAATCCATCTCAAAAGTAGATTTTTTAAGAGGCCCGCATTTCTCATATGCAGGCTTGGCCGCATAGAAACCGGGTCCATGTATTAATATTCAAACAACTATTTGTCACAAAACAAGAAAACAACTAAACAAGAATCTCATAGTGACCTAAAATTCAAATCTTAAATCAAATGTAATCACTAATCACTAATCAGCAGTCATCATCTTCATCCCCTTCATTTTTATCTTCTTCTCAGCTTTCACAATTTGCAGAAACCCATAAAATTCTAAACTGGAAAAAAATCACAAACATTTTTTGGCATTTTTGTTTTTAAATTTCAAGGACTTTCCAAATTGAAAATGTCCTTAAAATCCAAAGCTACAAAAAAAATAAAAAAAGCAAAAATTCTTCCATTTTTATTTCGTATTTATTTTACCATTTTCAGTTCTTCCTTTTAAGGGCTTTTAAAATTTGTAAAAACCTAAAGAGTTGAAAGTTTAAAAGCCCCCAACATTCAAAAACCAAGAAAAAGGCACAAACACACTTTCCATGTTTCTCAAAAAAACACCTTGAGTCTTTATTTTTTATTTTTGCATTTTATGTTATTTAATTTTATTGGACTTAATAGGAAAAATTAGTTTCTGTTATACCTTTTTTTTAAAATATATTTTTGGTTCTTTCTAATTACTTATAAAGACAAATTTTAAACTGAAATGCAAGAAAAAATGCACATCATCATGAGGTCGTAACTTGTTGGTAATTTATCTAATCACATCTTGGGTGAAATGTTAAATAGTCGATGTCTTAGGTGCGATTTGATAAATCTCCCATAAATTATAATATTTCTATAACATTGGATATTCATCTCTTTTGATACTGCTTTAAAGGTGAGGTAAATTTCTCCCTCGCATTCTTATCATGTCATGAAGCATAGAAGTTAAGCTAAAAGGATAACAATCTAACATTGGTGTTGATTCCAAAGCTCTACTATTTTCCTTCACATGCTAATAGATGAACCATTTTGACTTTTAGTGACAGGGTTACTTGTGGCTTCATTTACAATAACACTATGATGTTTCATTTTTTTGTTGTTGATAATCTATATGTTGTTGAAACTTGTTAAAAACAATGATATGTATTCGCTCTAGGTGGAACTTCCTTGGCTAATAACATGATGGACATGCGAGTACCCAAGTTGCACTATGTTCATCCTGTCTGTTTTCAGGCTGGGAAGCCCATGGAGTTTGTTGCTTGTGGGAGGAACCTCTTCCAAAACAAATTCCGGTATGGAATGGCTCCTTTTCCTTACTTATTTGATAGCCAATTTTCTGATATGGAATAGCTTACAAAAATGGATGTTCTGAACTTTCTTTATATTGTATCTGGAAGACATTAACTGGTGCAAGTTAATCTAACCTGTTCTCTGTGGAAGGTGAAATTCAGATTATTATGGAGATATATTGAAATGACAATGTTCTGATTTCTGGTCGTTATGAGAAAAATATTATTATATTGTTCAAATTGGAAAAGGAATTTCCCTAGCTCCTTTCTTTTCTTTTTATTTCTTTGTTTTTTCTGGTCATAAACATAAAGCATACCTGCTTGGTGATGTGACTGTCGACTCTAAAATTTGTGGTTTGTTCCCTACGTTGAAGTGTTCTTTTTCAAACGTAACAAGATTTGGGGTAGTCTCCCCTCTTAGTGGGTTTCCCTCGATGCCTATGGTGCCTCAAGTGGTATCTGGGTCATCTGGGACCCAATCTCCCACTCTATTCTTTCCCATTCTGTTGGCTCCTATTCTTTCCCTGTCTTGCTCTCTAGGATCTCCGACAATTTCCAGTGGAAATTCTCGTCAGTTTATGGCCCTAATAGACCCAATTTGAGGCATACTTTCTGGGCTGAACTGGATGAGTTAGCTGTTCCCCCATCCCCCAAAGAAACTAATCCTCTCTCACTGGGTCTCGTCCCTTTAGATTTGTACTCGCTTGGGTTTAGGAACCAAATTTCAAGGATGTCTTTGAAAGTTGGACAGGGTGAACTAGCACAGTATATGCGGTTTAAATTTTTTTTTTTCTACCAGCTAGAACACTTACAAAGGTCCAAATATTACAAAATAAACTCAAAATAAACAAATATGAATCACAAAATGGATTCTCACTTGCTCCCACTTAATGCAACTCTTTTATTTCAATAATAAAAATTAGATAAGACTCACTGGGAACAAGAAATACAAACTGTGTAGACAGAAAAATAAAATGCCAGAAGATTACCTTAACTGGACTTGATACACCCCACTCCGGGTCTCCTCCTCTGATGCTGCATGGGATCAAGGTCTTTCTCAGATCTTACAAGTATGGGAAGCCTAGGCTAGAAACCCTTCAAAGATGAGAGCAATATGGAACAAGATTATGACCAAACTGTATGTATGGGGCGTGCCCCTTTAGGCTCTATGCTAGGGGTGTGGCCCTCTTTTCTTCACAATATTTTTCTAACTCTTTTGGAAGGCTTAGAGAGAAGAGAGAGATCAAAGAGTGAGAGAGGGGAGTGAGGCTCTTAGAGGAGAGAGAGACATGCGTCTTAGGTGTAGAGATTTGGGCCCCAACAAAATCTGTCTCTCACCAACCTTCTGGAGATCGCCTCAACTTTCATCTCCTTCTTCCAAAATCTTTTCTCTAGTACGTCTAGACCTCGCCCACACATGTTGATTTCCCTTGAGCAATCCTCCTGGCTTGAGAGGCCCTCTCAAGCTGAAGAGTTGTCAGCATCTGTCTCTAACCTTGGGAAGGATACAGCTTCGGGGCCTGACAGTTTCCCAGTAGCTATCTTTACTCATTTTGGAAACTATTGCCCTAGATTTCATGGCCTTCTATCACAAATTCTTTCACTGAGGTATCATCTACGGAGGGATGAACTTCACCTTCATTGCGCTTGTCGCCAATGTGGAAAACGGGTTTGAAATTGAAGGCTTCCATCCTATTAGCCTCCTAAATTCTTCGTATCAAATCCTTTCCATGCCTTTAGCCACTAAACTCAAGTCCATCCTCAACAACATTGTCACCCCTAACCAGAGTGGCGTCATTTTCAAGCTTCAGATTCTAGACGGGCATTTGTGGCCCATGAAGATATTCACAATTGGCACCATTGTAAGATCCTTGGTCTCATTCTTAAATTATATTGGGAAGAGGCCTACAATCATGTTGATCGGTCAATTCTTAGATCGCATGGGTTATGGTCTCAGATGGTGCAAATGAATCCAGGGTTGTTTCTCCTTTCCCTCCTCTATTCTCCTCAACGGCTGCCCTAAGGACCCTTTTTTCTTCTTTCAGAGGTCAAGGTGATCCCATCTCGCCTCTCTTTTTGTCATCTTTGCGAAAATTTTCGGTAATTCTCTTGCTAGGCTTTATTGTTGGCAGACTTGCAATGGCTTCAAATCTTCTAAGCTCAATGATCCCATCACCCACTCCAATATGTAGATGCTACTCTAATTTTCTGTGCCTATGACACTGAAGTGGACAAGCTTTGGCTTTTCAACTTTTCCTTTGGTGCTTTGAATTCTCGATTGGCATGAAGGTTAATTGTGCCAAATCCAAACTCCTCAAGGTCAGCCTTTCTCCAGAAGCCTTCGCTGATAGATTAGGCTGCAATATTGAGTCTCTTCTAACCAAGTATTTAAACCTCCCCTTCTGCCTTGGCAAGCCTAGTTAATCCTTGCGGATCCCTATCTATGGAAAGGTGCTTTCTTTCTCTGGGGGAAGAATTACCCTCATAAAGACACCCTTTCAAACATCGCCATCTAGTACATGTTCCGCTTCCTCATGACTGCCTCGACCTTAAACCAACTTAATAAAATGGTAAAATCCTTGTAAATTCCAGATAGTCAGCTGGGACAAAGTCTGTCATCCAAAATTCATAAGGGGGCTAGGCATCTATAACCTCAAAAAGATGAACATTGCTTTTCTGGGAAAGTGGTGGCGATGCTTTGCCAGCTACCCGTTGTTACTTTGGAGGCAGATCCTTGGGCAAAAATATGGGACCAACCGCCTTGGCTGGTTCCCACTGAGAAGACCCAATTACCTCTCTTCAGGAATTTATAAAAGTATTTATGCCTCAAATAAGCTGTTTTTGGCGTCTATTAGGTATAACATTAAAATTGGTGGCAAAATTTTCTTCTTCTTTGACCCTTGGACAGGTCACGAGACCCTAAATTATCCTGGCCGATCCTCTTTAGAGTTGTGAGCTCACCCTTAGCTACTATTTCCCAGTACCTTGACCTTGACCTCTCCAACACTCTGGTATGGGACCTTAATTTTAGGAGACCCCTGCCAAATTAAAAAACTGATAACCTCCTAGCTCTTCTCAACGTACTCCAGTCTTTCTTCCTTCTGACCTCTGGCTCATATTGTGTCATTTGGGTCCACTTCACCCCTGGTGTCTTGGTATTTTCTTTCTATAGAACATTATCCACTCCTCTTCTTGCCGCCTCCACCAAATCAGTTTAAATGCCATCAATCCCCTGATGTAGGAAATTTGAAGAGGACACTGAATCAACAGAAATTTCAGATGAAACACACACAACAAGTAGAAGAAACTTTGGTTTCTTCTCCAAACCCTATCTAGAGCTTCAAAAGCCTGAAGCCTTTCTTTCTTTTTTCTGAGACAAACTACTTGAATGACCACTCAAGGGCCCCACACACGTCTTAAATAATATTTGTTTTAGTTGTTTAAGGACATTAAATGTCCATGCAATGAACAAAATGATGTAAAAGTCCTAACTTAATCACAAAATTTATAATTATAATTTTACCCTTGATACAACAAAATATTACCTAAAAACTCTTTTCTTAAGAACTCCTAAGAATTCTAAAAATATAAAAAAAACCTTAGAATCCCTAAAAATTAAAAACCCCAAAAATAAACCCTAAAATTAGAATTAAAATATAAATCCCTTGAAATTACATAAAAACTAAAAATAAAAATAATTTTATTCTACATCAATCTCCTTGGTTAGAGAAAACTTGTCCTCTAGTTTTGAAGTAGGCTAAGATGATATCAACATCAAGACCACCTTCTTCAACCTCCTTAATCTTTGTTGGCTTAAATATTACTTGCGGTATGATGAAATCCTCGAGAAACAGATCCTAGTATGTAGAGTAAGGAATTGATACAGACTAATCAAATCTGCCTATCGCTGTAATTGTTTTGAAAATTGAGTAGCAAACTTTAAACCTAATTTTTTGGCTTTTAGGGGCTTTCTCGACGTCTATTTCATTACTCTCTGAAATCCAGGGCCACAAATTGCCGTTTATGACTCGACGAAACTTCCCATGCATTACTCTGATTCCAATGCCTAAAATATCTTGAATGCTCCACCTCTTCAACATCCTTGAGATCTTCAAAGGCTATGATATAGATCAGTCCCCCTGTTGCCTTCTCTCCATATTCTTCACAAGCATGATCCACTTTCGAAACATCTTCATCTTCAGCTTGATGCTTATCATAGATCTTCATCTTGATCCTTATCATAGATCCGATCTCATAAGTGATATTGTTGTTCATCTGAGCACATATGAAAGATTGATGGTAAATCCTAATCTACAACCTGCTAATTTTGGATACAACTTACATCAAAATCAATAATGTCCTCCTTCAAATTGGAAAATTATGTCCCTCACATCTAGGTATTCTATCACTTTCGTCATCACTCGACTCCAAACATGGAGCGCGTTGATGAAAAGGGTTGTCCTCGAGCTCTTTTTGCGCTGAAAGATCATCGTCTTGCTCATGATTGATACTCATGAAAACTGCTTCATCAACTGTTGAACCTGCCTTTTAAGTGTGTTGGCAAAGCCCCCTTCCACGACCCTTTCTCGCTACTATGGGTATGCCGAAATCACAAACCCTAAGTAAAATATCAACAAAACCTTGCCAAACTCAATGTGATCTAAGCTGATTTGGCCCAAAATCACCAAAACCCTAGTCTGGGCTATAGTTGTTTGGCCTTGTTATTGAAGAAAACCTGTGCTTTGATACCAAATTGATGTAGAAAATTTTAACAGAATTGTAAATCAGCATTAAATTCACGCTAGACACACGCAACAAGTAGAAGAAGCCTAGCATTTCCCCTCCCCTAAAAAAAAAAGAAGGAAAGAAAAAATTCAAGCCTTTTGTCGGTCAATCATCCTCAATTAGAGCCTTACTATTGACCAACTCCAGAAAAGTGGTTTCCCCTTATCTAACAGGTGTTGCCCTTGCTTAAAGGATGAGGAATCACACTCTCATCTCTT